GTTTGGAGATAACGGGGAGGAGCCCCCTTCAGACTGAGGGCTCCTTCTGTGAGGGGCTGCCAAGTGTAGTGGGGAGGTCTGAGGAGAGGGCGGCCAGCTGTGTCCTGCAGGGAATGCGGTGGCGGGGAACGAACCTGAGGGCTCCTGGGGATCTGGAATCTTCGTTTTAGAAGAAGTGGTTTTAGGTTGAGGCTCCCTTGATCCAGTTTTCTCATGTTAAGATCTGGGTCTTGGGCCCACAAGCTGGCTTAGTAGGTAAAGGCATTTGCTGCCAAACCTGACAGACAGCCTGTGTTTGGTTCTCAGGATGCATGTGGTGGAAGGAGACAACTGACTCTTAGAAGTTGTTTTCTGGACTGGGCGGTGGTGGCGCATGCCTTTAATCCCAGCACTCGGGAGGCAGAGGCAGGTGGATCTCTGTAAATTCGAGACCAGCCTGGACTACCAAGCGAGTTCCAGGACAGCCTCCAAAGCCACAGAGAAACCCTGTCTCGAAAAACCAAAAAAAAAAAAAAAAAGTTGTTTTCTGATCTTCACATGTGGGTTGTGACACATTCGAAAGAAAGGAAGAAATTGAATATAGTTCTCACTGTGCCATAGAGACAGTCATGGACCTCACTCATCCAGTAGTGGTCCCGTATAATTGTCACAGAGGGCTGAGTTCATGACAGAGCCTGAGCATCTGCTCTTTGCAATGTACTGCCTAACATGCATGGAGCTCTGAGTTCCATCCTCAATGCTGTATAAACCCAGCATGGAGGTATACATCTGTAATCCCAGTCTGCATTTTGGAGGTTCAAGGTTCTTTTACATAGTGAGTTTGGAGCTAGTCTGGGCTGGGCTACACACAGTAAGACCCTGTCTCAAAATGAAATAAAATACAGTAGGGAAGTTTTCTGTCTGCAAAAGCAATGCACTGTATCACAGCATGGCAGTGTTGTGCATGTCCCGTTTACAGCATCCCCCGATTGAAAAAGGTCCCTCTTGAGTGCCTTGCATGTGTGAGTTTTCTGTATGAATGTTCTATGATGCAGCCACAATGACCAGCTTGTTTAGATGTGTAATTTCTCAGAGCAGGACCCTGGTGCTGGTGGGGCAGGATTGCGTAGCTTTGGTTATTGCACGAGCAGCCTGGAGATGGTGGAGGAGATGTGTCTGTTGAGTCAGCTCTGATGAGAGAGAGGGCTGACAGCACCTTGAACCTTGGACAGGGTGGAGCCTGTGCCCTCTTCCTCCCCATCTCGTCCCCTAAAGAGTGCTGAGTTTGCTGGCACAGACCCTTCCTGGAAATCCTGTCTCTAGGGGGAAGGGAACATGGACTCTGAAGCTTGGCTGGGGAGAACCTCTTACTGACTTGGGCCCTGGCTGCAGGTTCTGTGTGTGCGTGTGTAAGTGTCCCGGGTTGCTAGGGGAGCCTGAGTTGGGTGCAGCTCCAACCCCATACTTCCTCTCCACAGAGGGAGGATTGAGGGTGGGGTCAAGTCTGCCTCCAGGACCAGGCACCTTTGAGTCCTAGAAATGTGCAGGGAATAAACACCTGGTGTGTGAAATAACTCCGTGTTGTTGCTGTGGGGTAAGTGTGCTGACTGCATAAATGAATGAATGAGTGAGTGAATAAATGAGGGAAGAGAGTCATCCTGCCTACAAAGTCCTTAGAGATTCTTCCTAGAGCACTGGTTCTCAACATGTGGGGTGTGATCCCTTTCGTGATCCCTTTCAACAAACCTCTATCTCCAAAAATAAAATATTTACGTTATGATTCGTAACAGTAGCAAAATTGCAGTTATGAAGTAGCAATAAAAATGTTTTGTGGCTGGGGTCACCACAACATGAGGAGCTGTGTTGAAAGGTCAAGGCATTAGGAGAGTTGAGAAGCACTGTCTGTCCTAGAGGCCCTGAGTCTTGTGGAATGATCCAGCTTCATCTAAGCTAGTGGAGGGTGCCTGTTAAACTGGGGCGGAGCACTAGCCGAAAAGAGAAAGAGAGCCCGTTGCAAGAGAAGCCTGTTGTTTTTGGCATCACTTGACTCGGGCTCAACTTGATCTTTGAACTTGGTCTCTTTAGTGCCTGGAGACTTTCCAAGGCCAGAGAAAGTCCTGAGCCTTAGGTCACTGTGGGCCTCTGTCTCGGGGAAGGTAGAGGGACGGTCTGTGGGATTTCTGTTTCTGGCATCACTTTTGGGGGTGGCAGGGAAGAGAGGCCTAGTGTGGGTGGGGTAGGGGTGGGGGTACTCTCGTTTTCCTACCTGATTGTGATCCTGGTATGTGTGTGTGGGGGGGTGGGGCTTTGGAAACTCCTGGACCTGTGTAAGTCTATCCAGAGCAGTGGGTGAGGAATGACTGTCATCGCTGGAGGTTCCCTGTAGTGTTCTGGCTCTTCCACCGAGAGAGTAGATGAACTGTGCTGACCAAGAGGGATCTTGACAGACAGGAGCGCCAGGAGTGTTGTCTTTGATTTATCTGCTTCCAGAAATGGCAGTGTCCAACATGGTGGGTGGTAGGGCCAGGCCTGGAGCCTTGCTGGACTCAGCCCACGCCCAGCTAAGGAACCTCGGGGGTAGATTTTTATCATTCCACGGTCAGTCCCTAGACATTTCTGCCTCCTCTCTTCCTGTTCCCAGGACTGCAGGAGGAGGGGGCATGGTGGATTCCTTTAACTTTGCCTTCTTTTAGCTGTCCAATCTCCATAGTAACTCTAGGAGATGGGCCTCACTGTTCTGTACGGAACGCCAGGCAAACGGGAGGCAGGATTGGGTAGACTCAGAGGCAGCTCCTGTCTTACCCTACCTCCTCTTCCTTGGCCAGACAAGGGTGGGAGAAAGGGGTGTGACTTGGCCTGTGGGTGTGGCTGTGGGGAGAAGAATGGACATCCTCCCTCCTTCAGCTAGATGCTTCCCCTCCCTCCTCTTCAAGATCTTGTCCTCAACCCTATAGACCTTTCTCTGCTTTTATTTACCCAGCCTGTCAGCTCTTCCTTCCTCCTGGAATGTGGTCTCAGGGTCACACCCACCCCATATGGGTTTGTTTTCTCTCCATCAGGTGACTTCTTGACCCTCACATTCCTTTGGGTGACAAAGGGAGAGACACACGGCCCCACTGCCTCAGCCTGGCCACTGTGTCCTGCTGAGCATGGTTAGGCTGGTGGAGGCCCAGCCAACAGCGTTGCTATCGCTCTGACCCGGATAGGATGAAGCACAGAGTTCTTCGTTGTCTCAGCATAGTCCAGACCGCTGTGCGCCCTCAGAGTAGCGCCTGGGGAGGGGTGGCTCTTCTGCCCAACTGTAATACCCCTCTCATTTCCCAGCAACACCCAGCCCAGGGCACTCACCCCCCAGCTTTCTGGCTGTCCCCCCAGGTCACCCAGCCAGTCATGTGGTGGCTTTCCCAGTATCTCTCACGTGGTGCCAGCTTTGTCTGGACTCGAATTCAGGTCTCTTCGAATTTCGGGCTTCAGCCGATCATTTTTCTTATAAAAATGCCTAGATGACTTACTCCATCAGGGGTGGCTGTTTGAGCGGTGGATGAGGCCTGGCCTGGGCCCTGTGCTGTGTGAACATCACCAACATTAAGATGTCCTCTGAGGGGCTGGAGAGATGGCTCAGAGGTTAAGAGCACTAGCTGCTGGACCAGAGGTCCTGAGTTCAATTCCCAGCAACCACATGGTGGCTCACAACCATCTATAATGAGATCTGGTGTCCTCTTCTGACCTGAGGGGATATATTCAGGCAGAACACTGTATAACTAATAAATAAATCTTAAAAAAAAAAAAAGATGTCCTCTGAGCTGTCCTCATTTATAGAAGAAACTGAGGCCCTAAGGGGACATCTCATGTCTGTGAAGTGGAAGAGCCAGGCCTTTAACTCTGGAATGATGGACCCCAAGTACTGACTCTAATCCCCTTCATCTTACCCCCTGTGGGCCCCAGATGAGGAAGGAGGCAGTGTGTGTGTGTGTGTGTGTGTGTGTGTGTGTGTGTGTGTGTGTGTACATGCTCAGTGATAACTAGGCTCCCCAGGCCAGTCCTCCAAGTTCATGGTCCATATCTGATGCCCGTGTTCACCTGAATGCCAATTCTCTGCTGAGGGCATCTCCCTGGCTCACACTGACTGAGCTCTCACAGGCTACCTGTTCAGTGCTGAGAAAGCCCGTATCTGTGGGGTGAATTTCAGGGGAGAAGGGACAGTGGCCTTCAGCTTCTACAAAATTGACTTCAAGTAACCGTGTGGGTTTGGTGGCTTATTCTCATAGAAACAAACTCAGAGCAGGCAAGTCATGCAACAGGAGACACATGGCGGTAGAGTTAGGGTTCCTAAGTATTAGACACATGGCAATAGAGTTAGGGTTCCTAAGTATTAGACACATGGCAATAGAGTTAGGGTTCCTAAGTATTAGACACATGGCGGTAGAGTTAGGGTTCCTAAGTATTAGACACATGGCAATAGAGTTAGGGTTCCTAAGTATTAGACACATGGCAATAGAGTTAGGGTTCCTAAGTATTAGACACATGGCAATAGAGTTAGGGTTCCTAAGTATTAGACACATGGCAATAGAGTTAGGGTTCCTAAGTATTAGACACATGGCAATAGAGTTAGGGTTCCTAAGTATTAGACACATGGCAATAGAGTTAGGGTTCCTAAGTATTAGACACATGGCAATAGAGTTAGGGTTCCTAAGTATTAGACACATGGCAATAGAGTTAGGGTTCCTAAGTATTAGACACATGACAATAGAGTTAGGGTTCCTAAGTATTAGACACATGGCAATAGAGTTAGGGTTCCTAAGTATTAGACACATGGCAATAGAGTTAGGGTTCCTAAGTATTAGACACATGACAATAGAGTTAGGGTTCCTAAGTATTAGACCCAAAGCCAATTGTCTCCCCAGGCCCTGGATTTGCTTTGATTTCAGCTGTGGCTCAGCTCAGGACCACCTGTGGAGTCAGAGGGGCTGGCGTGATGGCTGCTGACCTGTCTGGTTTTTTTTCCCCACGCTTGTTTCCAGGCTGCGTTGGAAGCACACCTCCTCTCTGAAGGTGGCCAATGAGCCCATCTTAGCGTTCACTCAGGGCAGCCCCGAGCGGGATGCGCTCCAGAAGGTAACAGGGTGCTGGGGTGTCCCCAGGGTGTGTGGGGCATGGGGCTAAGAGAGGCAAGAAGTTCCCATCCACATTCTGTCCCTCTCCCCAGGCTCTGAGGGACCTGAAGGGCCAGACAGAAGCCATCCCCTGTGTTGTCGGGGACGAGGAGGTGTGGACGTCTAATGTGCAATACCAGCTGTCGGTAGGTCTGGCAGGGGCAGGAGCTGTGGTCTCTGCCTGTAAGGGTCATTGTCCCCTCCCAGGTCTTGAATTCCTTGAATGCCTATAACTTCTAGAACAAAGGGTCCCATGCCCAGCCCACTCCTGAGTCACATCCACAGTGAGGAGAGTGGGAAGAGTGTGTGTGTCCCTGGTGACTTCTTCCCAAGGGATGGAGAGCTGGGTTTAGCCCTGTGGAAATGAGCACGTACCTAAGGGAACCGGGAAACTTGCAGATCTCCCAGTCTGGGGGTGGGGGCAGGAGTGAAGGACTGGCCTTTTGGCCAATGAGTCTATTTAGGTGGACCGCTCCAAGAGCACTGTGTACTGGATCCAGGGTAAAAGAGCGTTTACTGCCTAGCAGGCTCACTAATTTAGATTGAGTCAGGGTGTCTCTGTGTAGCTTCGTAGACCAGGTTGGGCTTGAATTTACATAGATCTGCCTGCCTCTGCCTCCCGAGTGCTGGGATTAAAGGAAGAACTTAACTGAGGCTGGTGGGCTGCTTCTAGGCATGGAGAGCCGGGGAGGGGGAGGGAGCTGCCATGGCCATAGGTGAGTGAGCTGGGGTTCAGACATGTCTGACTGAACACAGAGGCTATGCTTCCCCTGAAAGATGAAGTGGCCTGTGGTCTTGACCTTATGAACCGTAACGCTCTCCGCCCTTTCTTCCAGCCTTATAACCACGGACACAAGGTGGCCAAGTTCTGTTATGCAGACAAGGTAAGTCCCCGGTGACCATGACTCCCCGGCTAGTTGTGGGTGTACCTCAGTACTTCTTTCTTTGACTCTGGGGAGTCTTTGGGCTGAGTCTGCAACAGATCCAGTCATGTGCGGGTTAACTCAAGCCAAACTAGCTCAGAGTGGGAATAGCACCAGACATTCCCACTGACGTGCCCACTGCTTAAAGCAGACCTGGGGAGGGCTTCTGGGGAGGGGGGTGTGGATTCTATAAGACTGTCAGAACAGTTAGACATAGAAAGCCAGGCAGAGAGTAAGAAAGAGGACCCATGGGACAGGCTGGTGGCTGGTGCCACATGGTAAGAGGGCGGTGGGGTCTGGGGTTACCTGCAGCTGGTATGTGTGTCAAGCTGTGCTTCTGATGGCAAGGCTGGAGTCCCACAGGTCCCAAGGATGGGGCACCTCCTTAGACCATGGGAGGAAGTGGGGCAGGAACTTTCTTTAGTAACAGCTGTCTAACCTTGCAGGAGCCTAAGACCTCAGAATGACAGCAGGACTGGCTATCCCTAGCAGTGTGTTCAGGGGCCTGTGGGGGGAGGGGCTCTGCTGGTCGCTAGTGTCCTGCTCGTTCCTCCTCTGTGCCTGGGGCTCTTCCTGCTGTGTAAGGCAGATGGTAACCCTTTACCTCTGTCTCTCTCTCCAGGCCTTGCTCAACAAAGCCATTGAAGCTGCCTTGGCTGCCAGGAAGGAGTGGGACCTGAAGCCCGTGGCAGACCGGGCCCAGATCTTCCTGAAGGCAGCAGACATGCTTAGCGGGCCACGAAGGGCTGAGGTCCTTGCCAAGACCATGGTGGGACAGGTGAGGACTGACAGTCCCAGTCAGACTGTCTTACTCTATTCCTGTCACTAGACATTAGTGACAGGAATAGAGTGTGCCAGGAGCTGTTGGAGACTTGGAGATGTTCCCTAGAAATGTCCCTCAGAGTCAGGGATGTAATAGAGGCAGGTGGTGCCGAGCCCATGTGTCCTGCCACGTGGGCCCGTGACCTCATCTTCATTCCCGTCCCCCTGCTCTGGGCCAAGCCTTTGTCATTTCATCAGTTGCCCTGCTAGGAGCGGCTGGCCTTGTGACATTGCTCTATGGCATTGCCGTCTACAGACGTGTCAAGCCGTATGCACAACCAGCCTGGGACACACCGGGCTCACAAACTGCGAGCTGAACCCTGCTTCCAGCCTCTCTGCAGCCCTCAGGGGGAGCTTTTAAACATCCACAAAGTTACTCCTGACCCAGGGACCACCAGGGCCGCTCTCCCGGCTTCTCATCCTATACCTGGGCCCCTCTACCCATCCTCTGTTTGGTTCCCCGGTCACTCTTGCCTTCCTTGCCAGGCTGTTCTGCCCATGATGGAGTTGGGACTCAGCAGGAGTCTCTGGGAAGCCCAGGCCTCCTCGCTCTGTCCAGTGTCCCCTGCCTAGAATGGACTCTGATCATGTAGTCCGGTTCTATCCTGTCCTCTGTGGGCTTCCTGGCATTCCAGGCCCAGAAGGGTGTTCTGCTCAGTTTGGGAGTGTTTTGTTCTTTGTCAGTTACAGTTACAGCTCAGGTAGTGACTGGTGTTAAATATATCTATTTACTGCCCCTGCAAGATATGTCTTGCTTGATCTTGGTCTTTAAGTTGTCAGAGGAGTCTCCTGAGAATTTGAGAAATGGGCTTTTCAAATGAGCAGTGCTCTGCACTGAGGAAGGAGCCAGGGAGAGGCACAGTTTGGCTTTCTCTAAGAATCCCCTTCACCGAGTTCGAGGCCAGCCTGGTCTAGAAAAAAAAAAAAAAAGAACCCCTTCACCAAGCCAACCCCCCCTTGAGTCTCACCTACTCTCCTGTCTCTGTGGTGAGAGCGCCCTCTGCTGCATGGAGGTGGGATGACAGCTCCCCACGTTTTTCTGCGTTCTTGTGATGTGAGTGACACTGTCAGGAAGATGTGTGGGCTGTCACACTGGGGTATGTTTTTATTTGGCTTGAGATCCAAAGGATTCTGGGTAGTACTCTGCAGGTCTTAGCCTTCTAGGCTCCACACACTAATGACTGCCAGGAATTATGAACCGTGTAGCTCTGCAAGATGGTCAGTGGATGCCTTTCCAGTCCCATGTGCGTTAGTCTGTCTGATGGAGGAGGCTCGGATGCCTGAGAATCGGGTCCTTTCCCTCCTCAGTCCTGGGGGCTGGCTCTGGCCTGTCTGCTGTTTTTGAACCTGGGCCACCCTCCTAACAGGGCAAGACCGTGATCCAAGCGGAGATCGATGCCGCAGCAGAGCTCATCGACTTCTTTCGGTTCAACGCCAAGTTCGCCACGGAGCTGGAGGGGGAGCAGCCCATAAGTGTGCCACCCAGCACCAACCGTGTGGTGTACCGGGGGCTGGAGGTACCGAATGCAGGCGGGGCAGGCAGTGGGCCACAGGGGGGCTGCTGGGAGCCTTGCGCTCCGCCTCACCGTTTCCCTCTTCCTCAGGGCTTCGTGGCGGCTATCTCCCCCTTCAACTTCACCGCAATCGGGGGCAACCTGGCGGGTGCACCGGCCTTAATGGTGAGGAACCGGGCACAAGGGCAGTTAGCGAGGCCCCAGATCTCAGACAAGCACAGGCCACTCAGTCATGGGAGAAGTGCAGTGGTGGCAGCAGGAGCTGTGGATAAGCTCTGGGTCCCAGCATAGCCTTGTCCATTTGTGGAAGACCCAGGCAGACCCCACGCTCAGAGGCACAGTTTCCTTCTATCTCAAACGGGAGCAATGGCTGCTCATGGTGGCGGTGACCTGGAGTGCTCACCTGTGTGGCAGCCACTGACACTGTGCTGATGATGTCATTTAACTAAAAAAGCAATGAGAGAAGTGGTTGCCCCTGTGCCACCCGAGAGGTACAGTAGGGACTTCCTTGTCACAGCCAGCAAACAATGAAACGGATAGGAATTTGTGGAGTGAAGGCGCCTGTGCCTGTGGCAGCTCCCACAGATATGGGGGATACAGGCCAATCCTCAATCGGCTGGGCAGGAGGAGGGTCGGTGTTGACCCAGCAGTCTGGACCTCAGGCAGGGCATGCACGCCCCATGTGCGTCTTATGTGCATGCACAGGGACAGCCTCTTGTATCATCACATGGGCTCTCCCGGGACCTATTATGCTGCACATGCTCTCACCCAGCACACGTGCAAAATGTCTGTAGGTACCTGCCCAGCCACACCCAGGAGTGGCCCGGAACACGAGAACAGCCCTAGCCTGGAGTGAGGGCAGGACTCAGCCCAGGCTTGCAAGGAAAGGGAGCCCAGGCTAGGGTCAGAGATGAAGCCTGGGGCCTCCGTGACAGGGTTCTCTGGAGACAGTACAGATATTACGTGAATTGGCCTAGCTGGGGGGCAGGGGGCATAGTGGTTCCAGGTAGGGGTGGCCATGCTGTCAGGTACAGTTGAACACATGGCTGATATGGTTGGTGTCCTATTGCCCTGTGAGTCGTGCTCACACCTTTTTGGCAGGGCAATGTGGTCCTGTGGAAGCCCAGTGACACTGCCATGTCGGCTAGCTATGCCGTCTACCGCATCCTCCGGGAGGCCGGCTTGCCACCCAACATAATCCAGTTTGTGCCGGCTGATGGGCCAACATTTGGGGACACAGTCACCAGCTCAGAGCACCTCTGTGGCATCAACTTCACAGGCAGTGTGCCGTAAGTCCGTGGGGGTGGGGGTGGGTGGTTTAGGGCACAGTGGTGTAGGGAAACAGTGCTGCTATCTGGGGCTGTAAATCAGAGGTCACATCCTGATATCACCGACTCTCTCTGTGTGACCAGTCTGTCTCAATCTAGTTTTATAATACCTGTCAAATGAGAGTGGGTTCCTATCTTTTTCTTTTCTTTTCATATCTCTCTCTCTCTCTCTCTCTCTCTCTCTCTCTCTCTCTCTCTCTCATTCTTTTTTTGGTTTTGGTTTTTTTCAAGACAGGGGTTTTCTGCGTAACAGTCCGACTGTTGTGGAACTCTCTTTGTAGACCAGGCTGGCTTGGAACTCACTGAGATCCACCTGCCTCTGCCTCCCAAGTGCTGGGATTGACGGTGTGCGCCACCGCCACCTGGCCATGGTTCCTGTCTGGGTTAGAGTTTGAAAGGCTGGGAAAGGAGAACACTGTGTGGACCGGAAGCACAGCCTATGGCAGATAGCAGCCATCTGCAAGAGGGCGTGCATGGGCGAGGGGGAAACGGGAGAAATTGGTCCTGCTTCTTGGAGAAGGCACCGGGTCTAAGATTTGCTAGGCAGAGGTGAGGAGGTGGGAACAGAGTTATAGGAAGGGGAAGGACACCAAGGGGACCTGCAGGCTGGTAGGCTGCAAGGCATGTCCCTTGGGGGAGGGCTGGACAGGCTGCATCAGTGACTCACTGACGCAGCAGGTGTCTTCCTACCCCTGCAGCACAGGGTTCTGTGCCACGTCTGGAAATACGTGAACAGTGAGGCCCCCACTCACCATTCCTCTCTGCTTCTCTTGGTCCCGCCTCTCAGTGGCTCCTAGGGGCCTTTTGAATCTACTAAAGTGTCTGAGCTGCATGCTGAGGGTGGCAGGAGACACAGAAAGTCCTAGGGCATGGCCTAAGCACAGTTCTGCTTTAGGCTGGGGCTGTCCATTGGACCCTGGGAGTGTGGCTTTATTGGATTCCTACTAGCCATGGCCTGACCTTGTCTAATTGACACTGTTTTATTTAAAAAAAAAAAAAGAAAATCACATTGTGTGTGCTCTGGTCCCTCTGGGCCTGCGTGTCTCATGGTACCATTAGCTGGATGTGGACAACACTTTGTAGGGCTCCAGGTCCCACCCCAGGCCCTGGGCCTGCATATCCTGGGTCTGCCCATTGCTGGCCCTCCTGATCCTTACGACTGTACTCTGTCCTAGGAACTGACTGGAGCTGCTCCAGGGCCTGCACAGGAGGTTGTGGGCTCCAGGAATTGGGATAATGACCATGGCCAGGCAGGGATGTCAGAACCTAGGGCAGAGCAGCATGGTGAGCTGCTGGCAGTCTGCAGGGCTGGGGTCTGGGTCCAAGACCTTTTGACCTTGACAGAGAGGGCATTGCTGACCAGGGTAGACCCTGTCAGGAGTACAGGCATGGGGGAAGCCGAGTCATGTTTAGGTCTTGACCGAGGAGCCTTCTGGGCATCTGGGATAGGTGACCGGGCAGCCTGGTGTCCCATTTTGCACCTGCAGCTCTTGTCATGGGGCACCTACTACAGTGGCTTCTCTGTACCCTCCCCACCTGGATCGCTGGTGTGGGTGGCAGCTTAAGAACTGCTGAGGAGGCCTTTTCCCCAGAGGCCTGCTCCTCCGTTGCTCAGGTCTCTGCCTGTTAGCAGGCGGAGTGGGCCTGGCCCTGGTTTGCCACGCTCTGGCAAGCTGCTAGGCCGAAGGTAGGAAAGTCATAAATTACCGTTAGCTACCGTGGCTGGGTGATTAGCATTTTTATTGTTTTGTGGTGTTGAGGTTGGTCACAGTGAAGCCTGGGGAGGAGGTGGTGTCTCCGGGGCGGGCAGGGCAGGGCACAGCCTGGGTTGTTGGTTTGGTCTGTCAGGCCAGGCACTGGGCCATGATGGCCCTCATAGCCACAGAGTTGGGTATTCTTTGCCAGGCACTGCAAGTGTGCCCAGCGTGATCCTACGTTCCGAACCACGCTGGAATCCATGCACATGGAAGGTTCTTGTTAGTGGGTGAGGTAAAGGGTTGAAGGTTCAGAGACATTAAGTCGTGAGTTCGACATCACACAACCCTGTGTCAGAGCCGGGATCAGCGCTTTCTGTTTCCGCATCTGGGCCTTCCATGTGCCACCCTGCTCCCTAGCCCCCATCACAGCTGCCACCACCCACTTAGTTCCTCCTGGTACTGCGATGGCCCCTCCCAACCCCAGGACTCCTTCCAGGTCTTTTAGCCCCTTCCTAGAGAGGCTTCTTGACTCTCTATTCTCTGGTTCTAGCACCTTCAAACACCTTTGGAAGCAGGTGGCTCAGAATCTGGACCGTTTCCGAACCTTCCCACGACTGGCTGGAGGTAAGCCCTGCCCCTCACATGCTTCCAGGGAACCCTCTTCCTGGGACATAATGAGAGAGCAGCGTTTTGTTAGAGTAGGGTGGCCGGGATTCTGGGAGCCAGTATTGGAGACTTCTCTACCTGCCTCTCACCCCCACTCCCAGGAGCCGCGTGTGGATACGGAGCACTTAAGCATGCCCGTGTGTGGGGCTGAGCGCTGTGTTCCTTTTAGGCTTGTGGTAGTTGTTAGCACACATGGCTTGGGGTTGCTGTGGTGGATAGCATGGTTCTGGGCAGGGAAGGAGGGAGCCTGTGTGCGTGTGTGTGTGTGTGTGTGTGTGTGTGCGTGCACGCGTGCGTGTGTGTGCATGCAGTGGGACAAGAGGAGGAAACTGACTGAGAGGGCCGCCTCTCTTTGACAGTGATGACTCCTGAGAAGCCATTCTGTGGTCACAGAAACGTGACACATGTGTGAAACACAGCCAGTGGAGCCTTCTCGGCCGTTAATACTCCATTCATGTACTGGGAGAGCATAGCCGGCTATACAATGTTTCTCAAACTCCCCGGGCCACAGAACCCCATTTTGCAAAGTCCCTGTTGACCAAGAGTTTTGTGGAACACACTTTGGGAAAGTGCTGAGCCTTAAGGGTAGTTCTGTCTGGGGCACACTCCACAGTAGAAGCTGGGGCTGGCGTTAACCTTCTAGCCCCTACTGTGTAGTGGGGCCCATGGGAAGGCCCTTCCTGAGCTTCCCGGATTGGCTGTTGAGTTTCCCAGCCCTCATGTCTGGTCCTTGCCTTTGTGAGATGAATGGTGGACTCTGCAGAGGAGGGTGTTGGTGGCCCTTCCTTCTCAGGGCCATGGTTCAACCTGAAGCCAGTGGCTTCATCACTTTGCCTCAGTTTACTCGTCTTTGAGGTAGGGGAGTTGTGTGTCCATGGGAGTGGTCCTTGAGACGAGGGGAAGACAGCCCAGGGTGCTTCCTCCAGTGCCTGGCAGGTGGTGTGTGCTTTTGGCTACTGTTACCGTTGTTGCTGAGCAGGTAAACTGAGGCTGGAAGGTGCTGTGACAGTCTGAAGGTCTTCCCAAAGGGAATAGGTGGGCTTCCGTGGGAGGTTTTAGGACCGTGGGCTCTTGGGACCTTGGCTTGCTGTGCTTCGGCCTCAATGGCACGTTGACCATCTGGTTCCCTCCTCTGTGATAGGGAGGGGTTGCATGGTTGCCCTCTGCTCCCTGCTTCCTCCCCTGGCGGCCTCACTTCTGGGTCTTGGGGGGGGGGGAATGGGCGAGGCCTGGCTCGTGACGCCCCTCGCTCCTCTCTGTTTTAGCTGCTGAGCGTGGGGCTGTGGATTGGTGTGGGTGGTGGCGTGGGCTGCATTCGGCAACCTCCATTCATGTCCACACCCCGTGCTCTGCAGAGTGCGGCGGGAAGAATTTCCATTTCGTGCACAGCTCGGCCGATGTGGACAGCGTGGTGAGCGGGACAGTGCGCTCGGCCTTCGAATATGCTGGTCAGAAGTGCTCAGCCTGCTCGCGCCTCTACGTGCCTCAGTCTCTGTGGCCACAGATCAAAGGGCGCCTGCTGGAGGAGCACAGCAGGATCAAAGTGGGCGATGTGAGTGGCGCCTCTCCTGCGCCCAGCGGGTGGCTGATGGGATTGGCTGCTGCTCTGCCCAGCTCTTTTTTGAGTGCCCCGTCCTTCCCTGGGGCTCTCTCTGCCTCTTTGAGGCTGGGTCCTTCCCCTGGGGCTCTGTGGGATGGGCTGTGGGGAAGGGATGCCCTTTGTCTCAGTGTCTCATCTCTCCCTCCCTTGTCCCCAGCCTGCAGAGGACTTTGGGACCTTCTTCTCTGCCGTGATTGATGCCAAGGTAGGGTGTGGGTATAGCACATTCTGGGGGAGGGGTGCTGGGCACAGAGAAGGGCAGGTTAGTCAGTGTGGCTTGTAACCAGACGTGTGCCTCCCTGGCCTTGAAGAGGACAGGGTCACCCACAGCCGGAAATTGTTCTTGTCTGCACACTCTTGAGCCAAATTCAGCAGACCCCTGAGGCATATATATGTGCACACACTCATGTACACACACAGGCAGGCCCACATATGTGTACTTGAGATCACAGCTCTGGAACAGTAGTGTAAATGGCCATGAAAAAACATCTCTGAAGCCACATGTACATATCATGTGCTTAAAATGTAAACACATAGCTATACACGCACCTTTCTTAATGTTTGCCTCCAAGTGTGTTTATATGTAAGGATACCTGTAGTTTTACCATACATGAGCATATGCACATACTATGTAACACATATACATAGACACCACAGATATAGCCTACATACTCACATACATACACCATATACATACCACACATACGTACCACACATATGTAATTATACACACACACTGTACATGCACTCAGACACAGACACATACTCCACACACACACATATAACACAAGCAGGTACTCTTTGTGTCCCTGCCATGGCTTAGTCTGGCCTTGCTCTCTCTCACCTCAGTGCCCCTAACCCTGCCCCCTTTCCGGAACTCAGGCCCTTTAGGCAGAGGTATTTGGGGCAAGTATGAGGGACAGCTAGCTGTCTCTGACACCCTCCTGCTCACCTGCCCTAGGCCTTTGCCCGCATCAAGAAGTGGCTGGAGCATGCGCGGTCCTCGCCCAGCCTCAGCGTCCTGGCGGGGGGCCAGTGCAACGAGTCTGTGGGTTACTACGTGGAACCGTGCATCATTGAGACCAAGGACCCGCAGGAGCCCATCATGAAGGAGGTGACCGCGGCGGGCTGTCCTGGCACAGCGGCACGCTCATTCTAAGGCTTTCTGGTTTCGTGGACGAGAGGCGTGGGGCGGGGTGGCCTGGCAGGAATGGCTCACAGCTGGTGTGATCAGACCTGGGTCTTGAGCTCCGGAGCTCAGGCCTGTCCAAGACTCTTGTCGCTGTCGGCGCTGGCCTGGCGCTCCGTTGCCACAGCTACCGCAGCCACTGTGGGATTATGGCAGCTGTGGACTCCCTGGCTCACTGTCTGGCTGTGGTGATACCTAAGATGGGGTGGTGGTGCAGGACCAGGGAGAGGGACCCCGAGGAGGAAGGTGCCTTAGCACTTGCTGTTGAGCGAGCTTCTGCTCCTCAGGGCCGTGGCTGCTTTACTTTCCAGGTGAGGGCATGGCACGAGGCTGGAAAGTTCTGGATCTTTTGCCAAATGGTCAGGAAGCTAGGCACGCTGAGACCAGAGGGAACCTGGAAGAAACCGTCCATCTCTGCCCGTGCTCTGGGCTGCTGTGTGATCTGAGGGCTGGGATGGTGGAGAGGATGGCCAGATGGAGACACTGGAGGGACTAACCTCTTCTCTGTCTCCCAGGAGATCTTCGGTCCTGTGCTGACAGTGTATGTGTACCCTGATGACAAGTACAGAGAGACTCTGCAGCTAGTCGACAGCACTACCAGCTATGGCCTCACGGGGGCAGTGTTCGCTCAGGATAAGTGAGTGGCTTCGGCCCTGATAGCAGAGCTGGTGTGCTGTCTCCACCAGCTCAATACCCGCCTCCTAGGCACAGCTCCTGCTAACCCCGCCTCTGCTTTCCCTCTCCACTCTCCTCCAGTCCCCTCAGTTTAGACCTACACAGGACACACAGCAGGCTGGCTTGTTAGGACCAGATATCTGGAGCCCCTGGTGACCGCTGTCTGAATGTAAAGGGACGTCCTGTAGGGGCCCCACTGAGCTAGGCGACCATCCTGTCCCATGCTGTGCAGTCTTGCTGCAGTGGAGGCTGATCTAATCTGGGTCCTGCCACCCTAACCTCGACTCTTTGCATTTTTCTTCTTCCTTGATTCTGTAAGCCACCGTGTCTGCCTCAGAGAGGAGTGTTGGGATTGAAACCCAGGAGAAAGCATGGGGTCTAGGTGTTAACTAAGATTCCGTGAAATGGCTGGATTGGGCTGGGACCCCACCCCCCTTTGCCCCCACAGCTGTGGCTTGACCCCCTGTGCTCTCCACCCAGGCCTCCCGGTGGCCCCAGGAAGTGGGTGAGCTAATCCCCTTCTCAGGGGAGGAGCTGAGCCTTGGAGACTAACTTGCCCAGGTCCCACTTTAGCGGCTGGCCAGTGTCCTATTCCTAACATGGCTGTCTGCTTAGCTGGGAAGCCGGTGCGGGCTGCTTGAGGGGCTGGCAACCCTTTTGATCACTGTGCTGTCTCCCAGGGCAATTGTCCAGGAGGCCACGAGGATGCTGAGGAATGCTGCTGGCAACTTCTACATCAACGACAAGTCTACTGGGTCTGTGGTGGGCCAGCAGCCCTTCGGGGGTGCCCGGGCCTCAGGTGAGTAGGAGGCCATAGGTCATTGCCTCAATCAAGGCTGTGAATAGGAGCAGAAGAGCCCACCTTGGGGGACGGTGTATGATTGTTCAAATACAGAGTCCCTTCAGGAGCTTCTGAAGCTAGGGGGTTCTTGTATTGTACAGGGGAAGAAACTGAGACATGGGGGAGGGCTGTGAATGCTAGTTTCCATGCCCACACTTTTCCCACCAGGCTCAAGATCACCTGAGTCCCTTGCTCTCTAGGTCATTGATGGAGAAGCAGCTCTGCACGGGCAACAGAATTGCCAGGAGCTAGTACCTCCTAGTGCCAGCCAGGGCCAGACACATGTCAGTGGGGAATGTGATGTTTCTACCCATGTAAACAGCATGTAGCATTTAAGGGAGACTGTCTTTTCTAATACCTGTCTTTGTGTATGCGAGAGAGAGAGAGAGAGAGAGAGTAAAAACATCCCAAGGCATTTTTTCTAGGTCTTTGAAATACATGGCATAATTGTTACCCATATTTACCGTAGGTGCAGAATGCTGTACCCCAGGATTTGTTCCTGACCTAACTCAGTATCCCCTAAATTCCCAGCTTCTAGTAACATCCTCATTGCTAGTTTCTGTGAGATCAGCTCTTTCAGGTTCCACGAGAGCGAGAACACACCATTCTCATCTGGCTTATTTAATGCAGCATAATGGTTACTAGTTCCCTTTTTGTGACTGAATAACGTTCCACAATGTGTAGGTACCACATTTTTCTCAACCACCCATCTGTCAATGGGTCCTTTGGTTGTTCCCTTTTCCTGGCAGCTGTGAATAGAGAAGAAATGGATGTTGGTGCAGAGATAGATGTCTCTTCAACATGCTGCTTTAATTTCCTTTCTTTGCTAAATGCCCGGCAGGAGTGGGGGGGGGGTGAATTCACAGGGTTTCTCTATATGGTCCTGGCTGTCTTGAAACTAGCTCTGTAGACCAGGCTGGAGATCTTTATTTGCTGTGTCTTTTTTTTTTTTTTTTTTTTGCTTTTTTCGAGACAGGGTTTCTCTGTATTGTTTTGGAGGCTGTCCTGGAACTCGCTCTGTAGACCAGGCTGGCCTCGAACTCACAGAGATCTGCCTGCCTCTGCCTCACGAGTGCTGGGATTAAAGGTGTGCGCCACCAACACCCAGCTGATACTCCTGTATCTTTGAGATTCATTTATATCTTCTTCCTCAGGATAAAATGTTTTTTTGCAAACCACATATAATTGGGTCTTTTTTATTTGTCTACTTAAAAATAAGTAAACTTTTTTGGCTGGGTAGATGGCACATGCCTTTAATGCCAGCTCTTGGAAGGTAAAGGTAGGTGGATCTATGTGAGTTCAAGGCTATCCTGGTATATATAGAGAGTTTCAAGCCAGCCAAGGCTGCATAGTGAGATCCTGTCTCAAAAAATTTTGGCTTGAAATGTGCTGTGTAGACCAAGATGGTCTTGAACTCACAAAGATCCACCTGCCTCTGCCCCCCCAAGTACTGGGAGTAAAGATGTGCCCCATCACACCTAGTCCAGCATATTTTTTAAAAATAACTAAAAAAGATTGTGTGTGTGTCTGTGTAACAGGCCACATGTGTGTAGGTACGTAGAGAATCCAGGTGATGGTGTTGGAACCCCAGGATCTGGAGTTCTTGGAGGTTGTGAACTGCCTTGTGTAGGTGCTGACAGCTGAACCCTGGTCCTCTAGAAGACCAGGAAGAGCTCTCTATCCAGCCTGGGTCTTTTTTTAAAATACATTCACTCACTATGACTTTCAATTGCAGAATTTAAACCCATTTACATTTATGCCCAAGTGACTCACTCAAGTATTGGGCTTCACTTTGTGTCTGGGACTGTCGCTCTGTCCTTCATTTCTAACGAGCAGCTTGGCTGGGCAGTGTTGTTTTTCGGTTGGTGTTTTGTCTCTTTGGTACTGTGAGCCTCAGCTGCTCACCTGCCCTCTGGCTGTGCTCAGCAAGCCCTGAGGCTATGAATCTGTTTGGCTTCCACTCCACCACTGCCCCACCCTGCCCCATTGACTCTGCCAGCCCCCAGCCCCCAACCTGCCAAGAACCATCGTGCGTCCTCTTTTCCACAGGAACCAATGACAAACCAGGAGGCCCTCACTACATCCTGCGCTGGACATCACCCCAGGTCGTCAAGGAAACGCATCAGCCTCTGGGGGACTGGCGTTACTCCTACATGCAGTGAGCTCTGTGCCACCCACCTGTCTGTTCATCCAGACGACTGACATCTCTGCACTGACCCCTGGCTCCCCACCAGCTCTTCCTGGACTCCTTACAGCTTGAGCTTGACCCTGTCCTGGCCATTGGGCTGTATCCTGACCCCTCCTCATTTGGTGTCAGGTACCCAAGCTTTGGCTTTGGGTCATACTGGGAAGGAAGAGCCAAATTCACCCAGAAATCTCATCTGCTCCGGAACACCCTAGGGCTTTACGCTCCTCATCCCAGGCCCGGCGGCTTAGAGATTCTCAGAACCGAGAGAGACACTCGGGACCCTCTGGGGAAAGGAGACAGCTCTGGTGCCCTGTAGCCTCACCACTCAGACTCCTGATCTTGGCCTTGACCCTCCCCATATCCAGTGAGATAGGACCTCAGTCCGGCTACAGGGGTCCTGGCTGGCTTTGCCCCTTGGCCTGCTAGATCCTCCTGCAGGCACTGGTGCCCAGCCATATGCCTTAGACCCATGTGCCTTCCTCTAGGATGCCCGGGTGTCTCTGAGCCTTCATCTCTCCTTGCCATCTGCTGGGAGCGGCCAGTGGTGGTCGTCTGGGAAACCTGGAGGTGGCCCTCCATTTCCTACTCTTGGTCAGAGTAGCCAGCTCAGTGGCGGCCAGCGTTGACTTCCTACTTGGGTCCTGGATGATAAGAGTGTTGTTTTCAGTGGCTTGAGAGTGTGCGGAGTTCCCCTTCAAGGACATTTGTCAGGGGTCCACATAGAGCTGGTGTGGCTGTCACCAAGGGCCACCCTAAGGTCACCACTGTCCACACTCAGGGGCAAGCCAGCCCTGAGCTCTGCTTCCTTTCAGGGTCTATATTGTCTCCCAGGGAGCAGGGCTGAGCTGCGAGTGTCTCAGCGATGCTGGTTCTAAATGGTGAGGGGGGTGGGGCACACCTACTGCCACCCAAGAAAATGCCCACTACCAAATGGAGGGAGGTGAGGCGGTGGCTAGCTGCTCTTTCCAAATCTAATGTATTTCCAGTGTCTTGTCATATGGTGCAGTTCCATGCCTTGGTGGAATGAGGGGGCTCTGAGGCTGGGGAGTCCCTGATGTCTCTGAAGCCCGAGGATCAAATGAGCTAGTCCATGTGGATTCCAGACAGCATTAAGACAAGTAATCAGAAATGTCACCTGTTTACCCATTGTTATACCAACCATCACTGTGTCAATTTTGCTGGGCCATAGTGTCCAGAGACCTGGTCAACCATTGTGGAAGTTTCTGTGAAGATGTCTTTTGGATGAGAGTAAGACTTAAATAAGTGGACTTTTACATTTTTATTATGTGTGTTTGTGTGTTTGTATGTACATGTATGTACTGGCACCCACAGAGACCAGAAGGGGAGGATTAAAACAGCTGGGACTGGTGTTCTAGGCATTTGTGACCTGTGCTGTATGGGTACTCAGATACAAATCTAGGTGTCTGATAGGGCAGTGAGCGCTCTAATGGGCTATCCTTCCAGCCCCAGCAGGTTTGGTTTGAGACATGGTCTTGCTCTGTAACCCCGATTAATCTCGAATCCAGATACTTTAGCCTCCTGAGTGCTGGTTTTACAAGTGTGTATCTCCATGCCTGGCTTCAGGAAGCATGGCAGATTTTTCATAGTTTGAATGGGCCTCGTCTGATCAGCTGAATGTTAAAATAGAACAGTGGATGAGCTCGTCCAAACAGGAAATTTGCCAGCGGACTACCCTCTGGAGACAGGTCTTCCCTGGTCTTCTTACCTTCCCTCCATCTGTCTCCTCACAGCCATCTTCCTCCCTTTCCCCTTTCTGTACCCCATGAATTCTGTATCCCTGGAGAACCTTGGCTGATATACATGACAAGGACTCTGTGTGTCTCTGTACTCTCAACCCCACTAGCAAGTACAGCCTTATTCCTTTTTTACAGATGGGGAAACTGAGGCAGAGCTGACATGGTTCTTCCCAGCTGTCTCAGTTAGGGAAGAGACACCATGACCACAGAAACTCTTACAAAGAGAACATTGAATTGTGGTGGCTCCCCGCTTACAGTTTCAGAGGTTCAGTCCATTGTGGCGGGACAAGGAGGTATGCAGGCAGACACGGTGCTGAAGAAGTAGCTGAGAGTCCTACGTGTTGCAGGCAACAAGGAACCGTCTGTCTGTAGCACGAGTTCTAATTGGTCTTAGTAATAAAAACCCAGAGTCAGAAAGATCAGAGAAGTAAAGGAGGCAGCCACTAGAGAGACTTCTCACCTCTACCAAATCCTCAGACCAAAATGGGCAATTCTGTTTCTAGGAGTCCTCAGACTGAATGCAATGCGCTCCTGTCTTCTCCCACATTATAATCCTCTCTGCCCAGCTATGTAACTCCTACCTCCACCTCCCTAGTGCTGGCATTAAGGTCGTGTGACTCCCAAGTCCTGGGATTAAAGGTGTGAGCCACCACTGCCTGGCTCTGTTTCTCTTTTAGACTGGATCAGTCTTGTGTAGCTCAGGGTAGCCTTGAACTCACAGAGATCTGCCTGCCTTTGCCTCCCTAGTGCTGGGGTTAAAGGTGTGTGCTACCACCGCCTGGCGGCTATGGCTGGCTCTGCACTCTGTTAGATCACAAAGAAAACATCACCACATCTGTCTCACTGAACCATATCTTGAGCATCTGTGAGACCTCAAAAAGCCGGTCCCCACAGTGACACACCTCCTCCAACAAGGCCACACCTCCTAGTGGTGCCACTCCCTTTGGGGGCCATTCTCTTTTCAAACCACCACATCAGGAGAGTGATACATACTGTTGGAATGTGAACCCAGATATGTCTCTGCTGTACTCCTGTGTCTGCCCCTTGTGATGTGTCTCCTTGGGGAGTCCTGTTCTGCCAGCCCTCGGAGCAGCCACTGATTCCTGCTGGAAGGAGCCAGTGAGGGGCCCTGCCCATACACAAAGCTCTGGGTTCAAGCTAACTGGCCACAGTAGCTCCCCTCTAGGCCGTAGGAACATGGATGCCCCGACTGTGACTCACAGAAGGGGAAGATGGCATTTATAGCTCTGTTCTTGAGTGAATGGTGCCAATTACTCAAGGGTGTGTCGAGTAGCTTCTACAGTACCGAAGATGGACCCTGGACTCTGGCACACGATGGCTAGCACTCTATCTCTCAGCCCCAACCCAGCCATCTGGAAGCTCCTCTCTCCCGGTGACCAGACCAGACCATTATGTGATCTCTGTGGTAGGGCCAGTGGAGGTCATGGGTGATGGGACAGTAGAAGGCAGACTCGAACCCAAGTCTGGATGCCTGTAGTCCATATTGGCAGTCTACTCCTGAGGTCACTGCTTCTGGGCTCCTCTGTCATTGTCACTATATGACCCTCCCATGATATCTCTGTTTTAACTGGGAGAGAAGGGGACTCAAAACCATCAGTGTTCCCTAAGGTTTGGGACTGTTGGCTCTCAAGGCCATGCTCCCTGTTTAGATTCCTGAGGTTTTCTTTGCATGGTCATCACTGTCAGTTCCCATGTCTGCGGTCACCCACAAAGCCCCTTCATTTCCCTGCCATGGCCAGCGCCCCAGCCACAGCCCTGAGCCTGAACAGAGACCATTTGACTGTGGCCGGACGTCCCTGCCGCCACTGCTGCATGCACTGTCACTCAAGCATATGTTCTAAGGAAATGAGGGACATCTGCTACCTCCTGGACACTGTGCCCGGGAGCTTCAGCAGGATGGGGCAGGGGACACACCTGTCCCTTCTCCTGGTCCTGTCTTCATGTCCTTAGTTCATGTATCAGCTCCATGTCACTGTCGTCCCAGTGTGGTCTAGAGCACTGGACTGAGAATTTAGCCATGGACTGGCAAGATGGCTCAGAGGGTAAAGACACTTGCCACCCAGCCTAGTGACCCGAGTTTGATGGTAGATGGCAAGAACCCACTCCTGCAACTTGTCCTCTGACCTCCATCCGCTCACCCTGGCATATCCGTATGTGTGAGCGCGCACAGTAAATAGTAACAGAACAAAACAGAAAACCTTTGATCTCACCCTTCATAGCAGCTCATAAAAGTGAGCTATTCCATCTTTCCCTGATGAAGACCCTGAAGGACAGGTGGGTGACAGGGTACCAGTACAAGAGGAAACGTGGGCCCAAGCTTCTGTTTACATCCCTGGATGTTAAGCCATGGGACACCACTACAGCTTCTCGTGCAGCCTGACTGGTGGAGTCAGCCCTGACCCTTCAGCCTCAAGTTTGACACTTCTCAGTAGCCGGGGACCAGACGAACTGTTTAAGAGACAAAACTCTGGGGTGGCAGCTTGCAGCGTGGGGCACTTGGTGAACGAGGACCATTTAGCCTCAATGTCTGTCCTAGAGGCTGCACACCAGTGGGAATGGAGACCTGGTTATGGGCCCCGTGATCCTGCCAGTTAACTGTTAAAAGTGGGGAAGGGGACATGTCAACTTGGTGGTGGTGATGGGTGCTCTCATCCCCATGCAGAAATCGTCCCAGGTCTACAGAAGCCATAGTGCCCCACTCATTACCTCTTCAGATTTTTTTTTTAGGTCTCCAGTAGCCCAGGCTGGTCCCAAACTCCCTGTTCTGGTCCCAACAGCTTTCTGTTGCTGTGATAAAATACGGACCAAAAGCAACTTGGGGGAGGAAATGGTTCTTTTTAGCTTAAAGGTTATATCATCCCTCATGGATGGGAGTTGGGGCAGTGACCTGGGGGCTGGAGCTGATGCAGAGGCCGTGGAGGATGCTGCTTGCTGGCTTGCTCCCTGTGGCTTGCTCAGTCTGCTTTCTCATACCTCCCTGGACCACCTGCTCAGGTAGCACCTCCTACAGTGAGCTGAGCCCTCCCACATCCTTCGTGAGTCAAGAATAACCCTCTAGAGATGTTTCCCAGGCCAGTGGGATGGAGGACGTTCCATAATTGAGGGCCCTCTTCCCAGATGACTTTAGCTGATGTCAAGTTGTCAAAAACTAACCCACGCCCTGTATAACCAAGGCTCTACCTCCTGAGTGTTGGATGCCAGCCCTACACCACCATACCCAGTCACCCTTGAGATGTCTTCTAACATCCTATGAGGCTGAATTAGGATCTGTAGAGGCCGAGCCAGTGGGAACCTAGTGCAGACCTCCCCAGCACTCCCTGCCCAGTGTCCGAACAAGGCAGACTGGCTTACAGACCCTGCCTTGAGGAAAGCCTACCCCTCAGCATCCCAAGCTAGCTCAGAGCCCAGTGTGTCCAGGAGGGGGGTGGGTCAGAGACCAGGACTAAAGAGACAGGAAAGGGTATAAGGGTCATGAGGGCACATGGTGGAAGGTGGTGGGGAAAAGAGTTTGGGCAGCCATTAGTCCCTACCCTGGCCCCTTCTATCTACTGGGCATGCCAACTGGTATGCCGATTTCTTCTCTTTATGTGCCAAGGGAGACACCAAACCCACGGACCAGGCTGGGCTCACTGTGTCCATGGCTACCCCCTCTGCCTTCCCTATGTGCTTTGCATGTCACCACAGCTGCCACCTTCACCGTCAGTGGCCACACAGGTATGAGCTCAGGCAGGAGCTTGGGTGTGGCCACATCATGAAGACGCCTTGTCCTCCGGTGCCGTGCAGGCCCCACTGGGCCCCAGAACTGTATCCTGCTCCAGCTTCTGCTCCTTCCCCAGAGCACTTAAGGCTGTCCACCTGTCCCCAGACAGGATGGTCACTATGTAAATGTGTGTGCAAATGCCTCAGTGTGGGGTGACAGGCTCCACAGCGAGGTAGGGGCATCTCCCAAAGCTGTTGTTACTCCGCTGTCATGGGGCCCCAGGCAAGGACCCTCCACTTACTGTTTCTCCTGCTTCGTGCTCTGACTAAGCCAGTTGAGCTGGTAGAGAACTCCGACTTCCACCTGGCTGGGGACTACCTCCTGGGTGGCCTCTTTTCCCTCCATGCCAACGTGAAGAGCATCTCCCACCTCAACTACCTTCAGGTGCCCAAGTGCAACGAGTGAGTGCCCACGTGAAGCTGCCAGAGGCGGGGGAAGGGGAGGCGAGGCACGGAGTCAGGACCAGGGAAAGGGTAGTCCTCAGAAGGCCAGGCCAGGACCCAGAATGCTTCTCCTCATTCATTGCCAGCTCCCCATCCTGCCTGCTAGTCTCCAGTGCCCCCATCCCCTGCCCAATTTGTGCTGCTGAAATTTTAAGCAGTTGTATTTGTAACCCTGAGACCTGGATTGAAGACGAGATGTTTAAGCTCACAGGGTCACCACCAAAGCCATCCTCAGCCGAGTTGGCAAATGTGGGGGCCCCAGTAAGACCATGCCAAAGACTAGTCTAGACGCCAGGCTCTG